AGGAGGAGGAGGAGGGGTGGAGGAGCAGGAGGAGGAGGAGGAGGACGAGGTGGAGAGGAGGAAGAGGAGGAGGAGGAGCCGGAGCAGGAGCAGCAGCAGCGGCAGCAGCAGCAGGAGGAGGAGGAGGAGGCGGAGGAGGAGCAGGAGGAGGGGGAGGAGGAGGAGGAGGAGGAGGAGGAGGAGGAGGAGGAGGAAGAGGAGGAGGAAGAAGAGGAAGAAGAAGAAGAAGAAGAAAAACACATAATAAGAATAAGACTTATAAACATAAGAAAAAACATGACTAATAATAAGAAAAATAAGCATAATAAGAAGCATAATAAGAAGAACAAGAAGAAGAAGATGAGGTGGAGGAGGAGGAGGAGAATGAGGAGGAGGAGGAGGTGGAAGAGGAGGAGGAGGAGGTCTGGGGATCACAGGAGCCCTGCTGTGCCATTTCCAAGGGTGGGAAAGCCACCCGGACTGGACAATGGGCGTTTACCAAACGTCCCTGGGTGTTCACTAAACAGCTTTACCCTGTTTGATGCCTCGTTCACTGAACGGCTTCGCGTGTCGGGGTGGTTATTATCGGGTTGGATGTCCTGCCCTCCACATTTGGAGTCTCGTTTCATGTTTCGTCATCGTTTGGATTTGTAGTTAGTTAGTTTGTTTTATGGCTCCGCAGGCCGGTCAATCATCGCACCGAGTGGTTGGGTTACACAGTTTGGTCGGTCGTCGCACCGAGTTGTTGGAGCACCATCGGCGATATCGCAGAAGGTCCAACCGCAAGACAAGCGCAACGAAGGAACCTTGAGACAGTCAACCCGTTGCCCCTACGCATTTTTCTCTTAAGGCGGACCCCCACATGATTGGACCCCTTCCCTGGCACCGGCTCTGCATCCAGAGCTGTTCTGTCGGTCCTGCGGCCTGGTAGGGGTTTTTTGAGGCCACTCAAGGTTAACACCTTCCACTGTCATTTGTGCTTCACGACTTCCTTTGCGAACAAGGTGGGAAGGGTTGTCCGTGGTCCGTCCATGATCTGGGTGAGAAGGAGGTCCGGGGGTCAACAATCGACCCAATGGACATCTTATTGGGTGCGTTCTGGTCAGAATTTCGAGGCGGATCCAGCCGTGGCGACTAGGCGCGCGCCCCCCAGAGGCCCCACAACCTTGCAAAATGCTCCAAGTCCTTTAAGTTCAAAGGCGCAGAATGGGAGGGTACTGTAGGTTCGTGTCGTGCCGACGCGGCGGAGAATCTGCTGCGGTCGTTCAAGATAAACGCCCGCAGTGCTCCAGACTCGGCCAATACGGAACGATCTGGCGATCGAAGAATTGCCGATCGTTCAAGGTTTGGCGATCCACGCCATGTCAGAAACCAATGCCGAAGTCGTCGCGGCGTGAACTACGGTACACATGGAGGCGAAGTTCACCAAGGGGGCGCTTGCCGCGCCAGAAAGCATCTCTGGTGGGCGGCAGGACTCGAGCTTCGTGGAGGGCGACGCCGAGGTGAACAGCACCGAGGAGTGGCGCGGAGGAGGAGGAGGAGGAGGAGGTGGAGGACGAGGAGAGGAGGAGGAGGAGGAGAAGGAGGAGGAAGAACCGAGGAGGTGAGGAGGAGGAGGAGGAGGCCGAAGAGGAGGCCGAGGAGGAGGAGGAAAAGGAAAAACCGGGGAGGCGGAGGAGCATGTTCGGAGTATCGCGCCACGTCGCCGATGCATCGGCGATGCGGCTCGACGTGGGGCCAGGTTTTCTCTGCGCCGACGGCGCCGGTGTCGCAGAGGCTCCACAAGAGGCGTCGTGGAAGGCCCTATAGGAGCTCCAACCTCGCAGCTTGTAAAGGTTCATACGCCATAGGCGCCCCCCCGATCATGTAGCGAACCGAGGAGCCAATTGGTACGACGACGGACAGAAAAGCCATACACATATATATATATACACACAAAACTGCAGTGGCGCTTCGCCCCATGCACCTTGGTCCTTGAAGTGTGGCATGGAGGCGGAATAGCCGGAAGGTCAAGCCGACAATTTTGCGATAACTCCTTGTTGCCTTTTCCGGCATTGTTGCTATGATAATGTTTTTCGCTATCCTTCCTCCATGCTTATTTTTCTTCAGTTTCGCCACACCCTGCGCATTCTCCCCATCCTCCTCAGCTCTTTTTTGCGGAGACTCCTCCTTGGAGAGCCTCTGGGGGCCTCACAAAAGTTGTTTCAGGCTGGCTTAAAGCCTTCTGGAGGCCTCCCGGGCGTATTCTGGGGGCCTCTGAGGGCTTCCTCGGGCCACCATGCCTCCATCCGCGCTCTCCCTGAACGACCGGGTCACGATTTGGAATGCTTCGGAGGGTGTCTGGGGGCCATCTTGGGCCGCCATGGGGCTCTCTGAGGGCCATCTTGGACCCGTGTTGTGCCGTTTTGGGGCTCGCTTGGACTGCTTGGAAGCCCTTTCGGATGGTTGTCGGACGCCCAGAAGACCGCCGTCTTGGAGCGTCGGGATGCCGAAAAGAGGAGAACCCCCTAAATACACCAAAAACCATTAGAAAATCAACGATTGGTGCCTCTTGTGGCCTTCTTGGGAGTGCTCTTGGGGGCCTCTTTGGGGCCGTCCTGGAGGCCTCTTGGGCCATCTTGAGGTCACGTCGGTCACTCTTGGAGCGCTCTTGTGCTGTTTTGGGTGTCTCTGGCTGTTTTGGGTGTCTCTGGGCCCCCCTGATCGCCTTAGGTGTGCTGGGAAGGCTTGGCAGAACGCCCTGCGAGGCCCGGGGGGCCGCTTCGAGGCCCGTCTGGAGGGTCCCAAAGCCCCAGATCCCAGGAGTCCAGTTTTTTTTGTTGGGGGGACGGGTTTTCCCCCCGCCCGGGCTTGCACAAATATAGGAAGAGGAATCGATATATATATAATATATATATATATATATATATATATATATATATATATATATACACATATGCACATGTATATACACACAGGGGGCATTCAGACCATTCCGCCACCGTGCCTGGGCTGTGGGTCAGGGTTCTCAGGGATGCTTCTGGTTTCTGCGGGTCGCTCTCGGGGGCCTCTTGGGAGCAGTTTTTGGTGCCTCTCGGGGGCCTCTTGAGGGCCTCTTGGGAGCCTCTTGGGGCCTCGCTTCTTGGGAGACTCTTGGGGCCTCTTGGGGGCCTCGGGGCTGTTGGGTTCCCCATGTGGGCCCCCTCTTGAGGCCGTATTTGGGTCCTCTTGGGCCGTCTTGTGCGCCTCTTGGGCAGTCTTGGAACCATCTTGGGCCGTCTTGGGTCCCTCTGGGGCCGTCTTGGGGCGATCTTGGGGGCATCGTAGGCCGTCTTGGATCGTTGGAAAGCTGAACAGGCGAGAAGGTCAAAGGCCTCCGAAAACCATAGGACAATCAACGATTTGTGCTTCTTGGGGCCCTCTTGGGACGCCGCTTGCCTCTTGGAACACTCTTGGGGCGTCTTCTACACGGCCTTTTGGGCCGTTGTGAGGTCATCTTCGGTATATTTGGGCACTCTTGCGCCTTTCGGAGGCATCTTCGGCCCTCTTGTGCGATTTGTTGGCTCATGTTTGGCCGGCTGCGCTACCAGATGACGCGAGCGACACGCCCGGAGAATCCCCGAAATCCCGGAAAGCCTTGGATATCCTTGTGTCTCCGGTGGCCGGGGCCTTTAGATAGTTTAAACAAGCCCTGCAACTCTGAATTTCTGAGGGCTGCATGAGCCTTGTAGCTCTCCACTTTGCAGGCACGGTGGCGGATAATACTTGTGTATGTGTATGTTTATATGTGTGTGTGTGATGATATGAGTATAGACGTACGTACGTGCGTCTATGTGCTTGCTTGCACGCACGTACGTACGTATGCATGTATGTATGCATGCATCCATGCATGTACGTACGTATGTATACATAGGTAGATACAAGCGTATATGGATGAATGCATGTATGTATGTATGAGCGAATGTAAACGTGTGCACATAAGTATGATTGTATGTGTGTTTGTGTGTATGTATGCATGCATTCATGCGTGAAATGTATGCAATGCGATGCAATGCAATCCCATGCATTGCAATGTGATATAATGTAGTGCAGTGCACTATCATGTAGTGTAATGCAATGTATTGTAACGCAATGCGATGCAATACGATGCAACATACTGTAAGCACATGTGTGTCCCCGTATGCACGCTGTGTATGTATGCATGCGTGAATGTATGTGTGTCTGTCTGTATGTGTATGTGTTTGTGTATGTGTATGTGTATGTGTGTATGTGTGTGTACACAGATAGGTGTACGGATAACTTTAGAGATAGCGGGTACTGAGCGGGGCGCCTGGGAGAGCGGAGGGTGCGCGCAGCCTCACGAGCCAAATGAGCATCATTCATAACGCTGGGAGAGGGACGTTGGGCCCCCGATGTCGTCAGAGGCGACGATAGGGCGAATCGTCCAGGGGAGAGCAAACCATGTATGCAGGTGCGCCGATGATCTATGTCTTCGAAAAGGCTTCCGGGCGAATACTCGTAATGCCCGCCCCCGGGCTAGTCGCCCCGATCGTCGCCGCCGATATCGGTGGATCATCGTTGTTTCATTCTGTTGTCCCGCATCCCGGGCCGCCGCTATCAGTGGCTCATCAGTGCTTCTCACTGCTGCCTCCGACCGTTGCCCCCCGCCGTTGCCCCCCATCGTTGCCCACTATATTTGTCCCCCATCGTTGCCTCCCACCATCGTTGCCACCTACCGTTGCCCTCCATTGTGGCCCCTTATCGTCACTGTTCACAGTAATGCTGTTGAGGGCATTCTGCCGCCAGGATGTCACTATTGCAAAGGTCTTACGGCCAGCGCCGCCGCCCCTGAAAGGGGACGACGACGACGACGACGACGAGGGACGACGACGACGACGACGACGACGGCGGCGGCGGCGACGGCGACGACGACGAAGAGAAGGCGATAACACGAAAAGCATTGAAACACGCGATGCAAATCAATGACTCCCGACTCTTTGGGTCCTTTGGGGTGTCAGCCTGGAGCCCTCCTGGGGCGTCTGGGGGGCCTGCCTTAAGAGTATATTTGGCCGTCTTGGAGCGATCTTGGGCTGTTGCAGGGCCCTGTTGGAGAAGCTGCGGGACAAGAGAGCTCGTGGCGTCTCGGAGGCAAGCAATCAGAGGGGAAGGCTTCTCTCAGGGAAAGGATGTCTGGATAATGAACGCTCTTTGCTTTCGACTTGATTCACCCAAGCGGTCGGCGGAAGAGAATGTGAAAGTGCTAGTGCCAGCCAGTCCGAGCGGCACTCTTTGAGCACTGGCTGCTGGGATCCCCGCTCGGGGCTGGACTCGCCAGTGCACTTGAGCCATGGGAGGGTCGCAACCTTTGTGAGCCCCAGAAACGGCAGGGCCGCTTTTTCACCGTTTCCAAGAAAATGTGCCTTGAAAATGGAAACGGCAAAAAAAGGCGACCGGACACAGCAAAAAAACGGCTCCAGGCTCGGAACCGGAGCCGGAACCGGTCAAAAAACGGCGACGGAACCGGTAAAGAAACGGCGTCGGAACCGGCAAACAAAGCGGCAAACCGGAACCGGTAGAAAAAACGGCCCTGCCGCTTCCAGGGCCCGCTGAGATCGCAACCCCCGGGGCCGCCTCAGGAGGCGCCTTCCCACTTCCCCCCCACGCCCTTCCCTGGCGGAGGAGGGAGCAAAGGGAAGAGGGCTCTCCGTCGACTCCACTGGGACGTTGTTCGAGTGCCCTCTGGCCGGAGCGCCTAAGGAGGAGGGCCCAGGGAAAGGGGGGGGGAGCGACGACGGCGGCGGTGACGACGACGACGACGACGACGACGACGACGACGACGACGACGACGACGACGACTCACACGGAAAAGCCTCTCACACGCGCCGACAGGGAACACAGGAAGCCCGGCCGTTCCGATTCTGTGGCGACGCCCGGGTGTCAGCCACGCGCAGAGGGGGGTGCGGGGCAGGGGGGAGGGCTCCTCAGAAGCACCCCTGCTCCTCGGGAGGAGCCCGTCCTGTCTGTAGGTGTAAGGCCGGCGCCTTCTAAGAAGCAGCCTCCTTCTGAGAATCGGGCCGGACGCGGACGAAAGGGGGGGGATTGGGAAAGGGGGGTTTACGAAATTTGCTGCGTGCAGCTGGTCTCGGCCCCACCGAGGGGCCCTTTCCTCGAGACATGGCCGCCTCAGGCGCCAGGAGGCGCCGGGAAAAAATCAGCTACGTGAGCTGATTCTGAAGCCCCCCTTCTGCTATCACCCCCTTTCGCCCGGCCCGAGAGAAGCCCTCCCCTCTTCCCCCTCGGGGGGATATTCCACAATAGTCAAAACATAGTCTGGGGACGATGTTTTGCGTTGTTTTTGTTGGCCACGTGGAGGTAGGTTTGAAGTAACTTTTTATTTCTCAGCCAAAATCCCCCGACAGGCCCGACCTCATCGCAGTCCCTCAGAGTCGAGGGGGCCGTCAATGCGCCCCCAAGTTCCCCGGCCCCACATGTCGTCCTCCCCGAGACGATCGGGGGCAATGGCAGGGTGGGATAGGCATACAGTCGGGGCGCTGACCTAAGGAACCCTAAATAAGGAACGAGGCCCCTTTTTCCCATAAGTTAACCTTCGATTTCCGGTCGAAAACATAAGGAAAGCCTGAGGCAAGCTGTGAACCACTTAAGGAACGCGGAGCCCCTCCCCAACGAAAAGGGTTCCTTCTTCAGGGCCCCGACTGTAGGGCATGCAACGCCTCCCGAACGCCCACTGATCGCCGATAGGGGCCCGACAGCCCTCCCCCGTGTGCGCGCCGCCGATTTTCGGGCTGGACGAAAGGGGGGGGATTGGGAAAGGGGGGGTTACGAAATTTGCTGCATGCAGTTGGTTTCGGCCCCACCGAGGGGCCCTTTCCTCGAGACATGGCCGCCTCCTGCGCCAGGAGGCGCCGGGAAAATCAGCTACGTGAGCTGATTCTCAAACCCCACCTTTGCTATCCCCCCCTTTCGCCCAGCCCGAGATTTGAGGGTCGCCGCCGCCACGGAAAGAATGGGTACAATGCCCAACAGCGGATCCTGTTCCTTTTGAACCGGACTCGCTGTCCACGCCGCCGCGGCCTGTGTCCATTCGAGACAGCAGGCCGCCTGCCCAACAGCGGCCGCTGTTGGTTCGGGACAACATTGGTTGTTGGGCAGTACCCATTCTTTCCGTCCCCATTTCGTGACGAACCAACACACACACCCATACCCATAGGGGGATCGGAGAGGGCTATGGGTGTGTGTTGTCGGATGGGGGTCCCCGCTCGAACGGGAGCGTTCCCCAGGGTCCGACAACCCGCACCCATACCCATAGCCAGTCCTCCTCCCAACGACCTCCCTATGGGTCTGGGTGTGAGTTGTTCGTTCGTCATTTCGGGCGTCCGAACTGTATGGGGGACCCGCCCGCCCTAAGAGAAGCCCTCCCCCGCGCGCGCGCCGCCGATTTGAGGCTCGCCGCCGCCGCTGCCCGTTGTCCACCGCCGCCCTGGGCCCGGGCGCCCGCCCCGGCCTCGGGAGGACGCGCGCGGCCTCGCCGGGGTGCGGAGCCCCGCCCTCCAGGAGCCCGGGCCGCGGCGGGGGGCCCAGCTCTCGACGACGGCACGCTCTTCCCCCAAGCGGCGCCTGCACGGAAGGGGTCCCAGCGTTGTGATGTTCTGGCCTGCCGCAGAGTCCCGCTCGATCCGGCCCGAGTTCGGGCCCAAGCCGAAGTGATCCAGCAGAGTGGCCCCTTGATCGAGCCTTCTGGCCCTCTATTGTTCGGAGGTGGATAGACCTCGACGCACCTCCACCTCGACGCGTGCAGGATCGTTCTGTTGAACAAGTCAGTCCCGTTGTCCAACGGGCACTCCGTCGGCTGGTCACCCCGAGGACAGGAGTGGAGGAGCGGAGGCTGCTCGCCCTCGCCTGGCCGCTGGATTGATTGCTTGAGAAACTGCAGGTCGTCCTCGCGCACCGAGCAGAGCCACTCGCAATCGTGGCACGGGGCGACGTTGTAAGCGGACTCTCGACGACGGCGCGCTCATCCCCCAAGCAGCGCCTGCACGGAAGGGGTCCCAGCGTTGTGATGTTCCGACCTTGTTTAGTCGGAGGTGGATAGATCTCCTACCCTGGCACGTCGATTGAGGACTTGGCCGTTTTCGGTTCGCGAGAGGGCGTCGCGGCCGTCATTTTTGCGGGTCCAGGTCCGTCGGTTTCGGTCCCAGGCAATTCACAGGCCGATTTCGGTCCCAGGCCGTGTTCCCCAATCAGCGCTTGCATTAAGTCGGGCCTGTCCCTCTACAGGAGGAATATTCCAACACAGTCAAAAAATAGTCTGGGGACTATTTTTCAGACTTTTAGATTTCGTCGGAAATCGGCCTGTAAGGGGACAGGCCCGACTCACCGCTTGCACTGAAGGGGTCCTAGCGTTATGATGTTCCGACCTACTTCAGCCTTGATCACCAGGGATATTTTCCAGCACCAGGAAAGTGCCGAGGTTTGAGGGGCTTCACGTGTCGGACCCTGGGAGGCGATAGTCTTTCGACACTGTTTCGACACTTTTCTGGTTGCGGGTGGACAGACCTCCTACGCTGACACGTCGATTAAGGAATTGGCAGTTTTCGGTTCGCGAGAGGGTGTCACGGTGTCGCGGCCGTCATTTTTGCGGGTCCAGGTCCGTCGGTTTCGCTCCCAGGCCGTTTTCATGAAGGAGAGGTCTACTAAAAGGAGGTTGTCCACCGCCGATCTGGGTGCTCGAAATTATTTCTGGGATGTGGTCCTAAGTACGATGGGAGCAACGTAATTCTAGCGGAAAGTGGAAGATTTGGCGAAAGTGTCGCGCCGATTTTGGTGGCCAGCTGGGTTCCTGGGTTCCGGTTCCGGTTCTGGGTTCCTTGGTTCCTGATTATTAGTCGCTTCGCTCATTTCGCCGGCCCTGGAGCCCTCTTTAGGGCCTCTTGGGGGCCTCTTGGGAACCTCTTGGGAGTCTCTTGCAAGGGGCTCCTTGGCGGCGTCTTGGGGGCCCCCAGAGCCTCCTGGGGGGCTCTTGTGGGCCTCTTGGGGCGGGAGAGAGGGTAGTCGATTGCGGCTCCCCCTTTGGAAGCCACGATCCTCATGAGGGGTGTCGAAAAATTGCCAGGTCCAGGGTCTCCTCCCGGGACTTGCCTGGGGTACTTTTCGCCCCGGGACCCCCAGGGGCCGCCCCGCGGGCGAATTAGAAATATTGTTAACCAGTTACCAGGGATCTTAGCACGCCTCGGGCCCGTTGGGACGGCGAATTGGTTCCGGGTCGATTTCGGCGGGTTTGGTTCCAGGGTTCCCGGTCGATCTCCTGATCAAGCTATCCCACGATTGGGTTTTTTTCTCTCGTGTATTTTTTTTGTTGTTCGGGCGGTCGCAAACATGGATCAAGGGGGCGTGGCGTAACGACCCGCCCAGTTTCCATGGGACATCGCGGATTTCCGCTTCCGAACGAGCACTGGCCGCATTTTGGGGAGGGCACCTCCCCCGATCCATGTTTGCGCGCCCCCGATTTTTCAACCTGCTCGTTTTTGGCTCGATGTCGGCGTCCCCGGGATCATCAGCAGTGGATCCGCGGCGAAAGACTGCGCCCAGGAAGGGTGGGAACTCCTTTGGGGCCGCGGATTGGGAGCGTTTGGCCTCCCAGAGGGGGGGCCCATCGCGCCGCACCGCCGATGCATCGGCCACGCGGCTCGATGTGGAGCCCGACTTCTCCACGCCGGCGGCGGCGATGCGGCGCGGTCTCCCGGCCTCATCCGCTAGGAGACCCCACTCTGGAGGCCTCTGCCGCGGGGAGGGCGGCCAGCAGGGCGCCGTGGGGGGGCACGGCCTGCCGGCCAGGGGGTGTCCGCGGGTGGTTTTCGCGTGCGTTCGGGCCCTTGGAGTGGAGGTGCTGCCAGAAGTGCCCCTGGCCCAAGGTGCCTCCAGGATTTGCAAGGAGGCCCCACGGCCTCCAGAGTAGACCCCGACGAGGCCCGGAGGGCCCCAGGTGCTCCACCATTGGAACGAGGGGCTGAGGGCTCGGGCCAGGGTCACCTCTGGCAACACCCGACTGGTTGGTTTCTGCCAGCTGCCCCTCAGGCGTCTGGGGGTGCCTGGATCGTCCCGAACGGCTGCCGGAGGCCAGAGTCATGGCTTCAAAGTCAGACCTCCTCACGTCGGGATGCCGAAAAACAACATTCTGGACGCTTTGCGTAACCCCATCAGCCCATCCAGAAACGATGCCCAGAGGAATTGCATCGATCAGGGAAGTGGGCAGCACACAGAGGAAGGGTCCCCCAGTGGAGGCCTCTTGGAGCGTCTTGGGTGCCCCGGAGAGCTTCTTGGGGCCTCTGGGGGGTCTCTTAGGAGCATCTTGGAGGCCTCTTGGGCGCCTGTTGGGGCCTCCTGGGCGCCTCTTGGGGCCCTCTTGAAGCGTTCTTGGGAGCTTGGGAGCGCTCTTGGGGCCATCTTGGGGGACATCGATTAGCGTTGCCCCTCGGGAGCCCAAACAATCGCCTCTTGGGCTCTCTGGAGCCTTTCTTGGAGCCCTCTTGGGCCATCTTGGAGCCATCTTGAGGCCTCGAATGGCCATCGGAAGCGAACAGGCGAGAAAGCCACACACATAGAATTTCCTCAGGTTTTGGCCTCTTCGGGGCCTTCTGGGGGAGCTCTTTGGCCACTGGGAGCGGTCTTGGGGCATCTTGGAGCATCGTGGGAGCCATCATGAGACATCTTGGGATTTCTTGAGCCATCTTGGAGATCAGCTTGGGCTCTCCCAGACGCTCTTGGAGTCATCTTAATCAGTGCCCCCCCCAAGAGGCCAACATGTGGCTAAAACCTTCGTCAAATCAGTGATTTGGCATTCTCGCCGAGGCCTCTTGGAGCATCTTGGGTGCCTCTGGGGGGTCTCTTGGGGCCTCTTGGAGGTGCCTCTTGGGGGCATCCTGGGGGCCTCTTGGGGCTTCCTGGCCACCTCTTGGGGCCCTCTTGGGGCACCCTTGGGAGCCTCGGGGGCCATCTTTGGGCGATCTTGGGTAAGATTGACCACAGGAGGGGGGGCACTCTGATTAGGGTCCCCCCCTCAGGAGGCCAAAATGGGGCCAAAACCTTGGTAAAACCACTGAGTGTGGCTTCCTCGCCGAGGCCGTTTTGGACGCTCCGACACCTCGCGAACCCCCTTTGTCCAGGTCCATGGGGAGGGGGTAGGGGGAGGGGCAAACCCCTCCCCGAAGGGGAAGAACGAGGGGTGGAAGAGGAAACTCCCTAAACCACCGACGCCCAGAGGGCTGGTGGGATTGGCATCTCGAGACTTTGAGGAGGACCCCGCGATGGAAAAATCGAGGCGTCGGCCCCCTAGGCCCTGGCCTGATCTGGCCTGGGCGGCAGCCTTGCGAAGGTTTGGCGCCAGTGCTGTCCCAAAGCGCCTTGCCCGTCATCCTCACCCTCCTCCTCCTCCTCCTCCTCCTCCTCCTCCTCCTCCTCCTCCTCCTCCTCCTCCTCCTCCTCCCCCATGGGCACACGCATCGAACAAGCTGGAGTTGCCGGATGTCTGGGATCATGGTCGCCTCGTCATCCCTCCTTCCCCAGCTCACCGTCGTCCTCGTCACCTTGCTCGACCTTCCTCTCCCCGTCGGAATCGTCCGTTGTTCGCTTGCATGCGACAGTGGTCGTACCCTTTTCACGGTCGTGGGCGTACCTTTTTTAAAAGTCGGGCCTGTCCCTCTACAGGAGGAATGCACAAAATAGTAACAACCGAGTCCCGTGTCTTGTTTTTTATTTAAGTTTTTTAACATTTGGGAGTATGATTATGTTTGTATCTTTCGTAGAAAAGTCCCCTGCAGGGGGGCACGCCCGACCTAACCCTTCCACCTCCATTCCTCCGTTCTCATGTTCCACCTTGGCTCACCCGTGAGCGTACTGCTGCCTCGGCAGGAGGGTTTCGCCTTCGGAGGGTTCCAGGAGGACTGCTTGGGCAACGACGAGGGCCGAGTTCGCAAGAATGCCTCGTGGCAGAGCAGGGTGGCGAGCGTGTAGCGAGAACATCAGGCGATCGTGGAAGCGGAGGTCAACTCGGGAGCCAATATAATTGAAACCAATAATCGAGTGTGCTCGCGCATGTGCGACGAGGGCGGCTTGCGATAGAATCAGGGAAGCCTTGGGGTGTCTCACCAAGCCCTGGGCCTTTAATCCACGCCAGAGTCGGGGCCGTGACAAAGTCTCACCACCGATTGCGTTTGATGGAGCACTCGTTGTTCTCTGGTTAGGGCAGCCATCTTTGACAATGATCTACCTCTGCACCAGTCCCCGCATGCGCAAAGTGCTGCGCCACCGTGCTAGCGGAGTGAATTTGAATGTATCATATGTTTCGCCTGCACGTTGGCTTTTTTTTGTCGTGTCTCTGGCCCGCACCCAGACGAGCCACAATCGCAGGAGCTGCGGTCCTTCCCCTTGTTGGAGCTCCCTGTGGGGCCACGAAACGTGAGAGGGTTGTTCCGAAATGTGTGTCAACACGCATGCGGGCTGCGCCACTGGGGCCTTCGGTGGTGCTCCATATGGGACCACGAATCGTGTGAGGAGTCTGCAGAAATGGGCAGCGATGGCGCATGCGGGCGGCGCCACTGGGGCCTTCGGTGGAGCTCCTTATGGGGCCACGGAGCGTGTGAGGGGAGTGCTGGCATGGGTGGCAACACGCATGCGGGCGGCGCCCGAGACCGTGACATGCGCAGCGTAGCGGCAGGAATTGGAGGAGGTGGGAGGGGGAGGAGGAAAGAAGGAAGGAGAACGCGGGGCGCTCTCTCTTCAGAAACGAGGGCCCGACTCCACAGAATGGTTGGGAAAAAGGGGCGGGGTGGTGGGAGGAAGGGGGGGAGGTTCAAGGGGGAGGGGGGGAACGAACGACGTAGAGCGACAGGGAGAGGACGAGGGGAGGGAGGGGAAAGAGAGGGCAGAAGGGCCAGAAGGAGCCCGACGGAGGAAGGTGGGAAGAGGAGGCCGTGACAAAACGATGCCCCGCCTTGTGGCGGATCGTTGTGCCACAGCACGGTGTACCTGGTGTGCTTGTTGTGCCTGTTGTGCCCGCCTTCTCTCGTCCCTCCCCCCCTCGTGTGCCTGATGTGCCTGCTGTGCCTGCTGTGCATCCACTTGTGCCTGTTATGCGTGTTGTGCTTGATGTCGCTGGTGTGCCTGTTGTGCTTGTGGTGTCTGATGTGCCTGTTGCGGGTGGTCGGTGTGTCTGCTGTGCCTGTTGTGCTTGGTCCCCTTTGCATCCTCACTCCACCATGTTGTGCCTATTGTGCCTGGTCTTTGTACCTGGTGTGCCTGTTGTGCGTGGTCGGCGTGTCTGTTTTGCTTGGTGTGCCTGTTGTGTCTGTTGTGCCCGGTGTGCCTGGTGGGTGTGCCTGGTGTGCCTGGTCGGTGTGCTTGGGGTGCCTGGTCGGTGTGCCTGGTGTGCCTGGTCGGTCTGTCTGGTGAGCCCCGTCGGCATGTCTGCATAGTATGCTCACTTGGTGTGCCTGGTGGTGGCCGTGTGAGCTTCATCGGTGTTCCTGGCACGTATGGTTGATTGGTCGCCCTGGATTGCCTGGTCGAGGTGTCTGGTCCGTATACCTGGTGCGCATCATCGTCATCATCATCATCATCATCAGCAGCAGCAGCATCACCATCATCATCATCATCATCATCATCATCATCATCATCATCATCATCATCATCATCATCATCATCATCATCATCATCATCATCGTCATCAACATCATCATCATCATCAGCATCAGCATCATCGTCATCAATATCAGCATCATCACCCTCATCATCAGCAGCAACATCATCATCCTCATCATCAGCATCATCAGCATCATCCATCACCATCATCATCCTCGTCATCAGCATCATTATCATCATCGTCATCGTCATCATCATCATCGTCAATCTACATTCGCACATATTTACCGCGTCACCAAGATCGTCATCCAGCATCTCATCTTCATCATCCATATCATCATGTCCTGCCCTGCAGCGAGGGCGAAAATGTGAAAAGGAGGTGGAACGTGCATGCTAATGAACATGCCCGTTCCCGCGAATAGGTGTGGGAACCGACATGCTCACGAGCATATCTGAACATGGACCGTGAACGGTCTGACTTGTGACAGTTGGTTCGAAATCTATCGCACATGACTCCCCATGGGGTCGAACGAGCGCATCGCACGAGTATTCGTGACATGAAAGCTTCGCGAGCTGGGGGGGCAGAGAGCACATCAGGTATTCGTGTACGCGGCTGGGCGTGTACGTCCTTTTTCGGATTCCCCACCCATCACGGCGCGACACTCCAGGGGAGGAGGAGGAGGAGGAGGAGGAGGAGGAGGAGGAGGAGGAGGAGGAGGGGCAGGGGAGGAGGGGGAGGGGGGGGGGGGAGGGAGGGAGGGGGAGGGGGAGCGAGGAGGGGGAGCGAGGAGGAGGAGGAGGAGGAGGAGGAGGAGGAGGAGGAGGAGGCTGGTCGAGTTTCCTCGGAGCCTCCCGAGGGGGGGCGCGGCCTCCAGTTTGAACCCGCGGGCCTCCCCAGAGGTGGGGGATGGGCGAAGGCCCGAGCGCTTCGCGAGGCCCTCGCGGGGGAGGGCCGGCGCAGACCCTTTCAGGGTCGCCCAGGGGCTCGATGCACGTGATTTCCAGTAGGCTGCCCCTCGGGAGGGGAAGTATCCAGGAGAGTATCGATGGCCTGCCGCCGCGGCGCACGTGATTTCCAGGAGAGTATCGATGGCTTGCCAGGAGAGTATCGATGCACGTGATTTCCAGGAGAGCATCGATGGCCTGCCGCCGTTGGTCGCAGGCGACGTTTCTATCCCAACCCCCGGCTTGTCGACGAAAAATCCAGCCGCCCAGGAAAGGAGGGGCACCCTGGGATACAACCCCCCGGGGGGCTATTCGGGCGCACGCCTGTCGAGGATGGGCGCCCCCCCCTCGCATATCCCAGGGCGGGGCCCCAAATTTCTGGCCCATCCGAAAGCCCCACGAAGCCTGGGATAGGGGTCGACGCATCCCCTGTCAGTCGGGAGCCCGTCGGCGCGTTGCTCCCTCGCTGTTCCGTGCGACCGGGTGTGGTGGTCGTTGCGTCGGCCCCGGGCCGGATTCGTGGGTCGGTTTTGGAGGTCGTCGGAAGGATCGCGGCGGCCACACATCGGGCAACGTGCTTCTCCAGGGAATGGCATGCCTCTTCCCACCCATCTCCTGCCCAGCGATGCACACGCGGGCCACAATTCACAGCATATCGGCAGAGAGTTGTCAATTCTTCACTCTTCGCATATCCCCGCCAGCCCGTTTAGAAATCCTGTCCATGAGAGTTGATGGAAAAAATTGTGAATAAATACATATGGTGAAACAAAGCGGGCAACCAGGATGAACAGAGATATTTCTGGGAGCAAGGGGGTGGCGTTGGCGGGCCTCTTCGGGCCATCCCTGGGGCCCGCGGGGGGGGCGAGGGGGATGAGGAGGAGGAGGAGGAGGCGGAGGAGGAGGCGGAGGAGGAGGAGACAAACCGCCTCTTGGGTCCCTCTTGGGGCTCTCTTGGGGCCCTCTCGGGGGCCCCCCGAGAGTTGACTTTCCCGCCACTTGTAGATGACACAAATGACCGATAATGGGTTGCATGTAAGATCTGCCCCTCACCTCCCGCAGCCCAGTATGCCAGCAGCGGAACAGCATGGCGAAGCGGAACAAACGCCCCTATTTCCGCCCCGACTTTCGGCCTCTTCAACAAGGCAATGTTTGGGTGTGCCAGCCTATCCGCAGTCGTACTGCGCTGGTTAAAGCAGCTGCCTTGTGGGATGCTATCTAGCCCATCCTCGGAACGTCGGGGTGGTGCCGAAATTCATGACATGTTCGTTGCTCAATGCTTGACTTGCGCGCCAGAGGAGGTGGACGTCCAGGGCACCCGCCAGAGGCGGTTGCAATTGAGACATTGCGACTTCCTGACATCCTGCCCCACGCTGGAGAAGCTGAGTAAAGTCATGCATGAGACGAGGTGGGGGCACACATTCGACAGATCGCTGAGCGTGCGTGCGTGCGCGATCGACGTCCCAACGGGGCACGCCTGGCCCCCCAGTTCGCAGGTCCGCGGAGATCGCGGGGTGGCTGATCCGACAATAGGTGTACACCCCCCAGATTTGTTCCCTTGCCCTTTCTTAGCGGCCACCAGCTTACTGTTGCAGGCGGCCCGGATGTGCAGAACGACCCTGCCAGATCAAGGGTACCCTCGTGTTTTGTGCCTTGCGACCCATGCCTCCTGCATTTCTGTGGCAGTGTGGCCCTCGGAAGGGTCTATTGCTTCTCGCGTGTCCTGTCCAATGAATTCCGACTGTGCAGTGCGGTTTTCTATACATGCTCCGCGTGCGGGTCATGCATTAAACAACGCAGGGATGTAGTATGACAAACGACGATGAGTTCATGTATACATTTACTCATGAACTAATCCTGCATTCAAAATCACATATTTTTCAACATCCCATGTATTAAAAACTGCCCTGTACCGTTTGTCCCCCTTGCCCGGTGTCGGCGGCCACCAGCTCTTTGCTGCCCTCCGTCCCCCGGCCCCCCGCGTGCCGACGCCTCGGGCGAGAAAACGCAGCCTGGACCCGCGTCGGCAGAATCTGGTCGCCCGTCGTCGCCATCGCGCCTCCGCGAGCGAGCACCCAAAAGGTCCCCTTTTCGGGACCCCGAGAGGACCTCGAGAGGGCCCCGGGGGCCAACTGCGAACCCTACCCCACCCTCCCCCTCAAAAGTCGTGGGGGGTAGGGGTAGGGTTCGCATGTAGCCCCCTGCTAATATTCGGGGGTGGATAAACCTCCTACCCTGACACGTCGATTATAGCGAGTTTGCCGTTTTCGGTTCGCGAGAGGGCGTCGCGGCCGTCATTTTTGCGGGTCCGTCGGTTTCGGTCCGAGGCCGTTTTCACTAGAGGGAGGTTTATTGAAGGGAGGTTTGTCCACCGCCGATATATGTTCGGATGGCCGTGGTCATCCAAATATCTCATCGGGGGCATCTTGGAG